TTTGTAGATAATCCTTCGCTTTACTAATATTCTAATAGTTCCATATTCTCTCAGCTAAATGCATTTATGTAACAAATTAAAAGTGTAATTCCTCAAGATAGGATTTTTACTACCTTTGCCTAGAACCAGCACCTGGCCAGAGGAAAACCATATTCTAGTACAGCAATTCTGTGTTTTCAGGAGAATATGAAATAAAGAGAAAGAAGGAATTCTGAGAAATATGTACTGTCTTCCCCTCCCCCCAATATTTTATTCAACACAAAGGAAGCAAGAGGGAGAGCAAAGAGCAAGGATAAAGGAAAGAAATCTGTTTGGGGCTAAGCCAAATAAACTTAAATGGTTTAAGGAATAAATTGGTGGAGTAATTCGAATCATGGGCAGGTGCTAGGAATGTAATTCAGTAAATGCTCGGGAACCTGCCAAGGAAGAGAAAAATGTGCTGTTTTTGAGATCATTTCCCAGCAGCTTCATAAAAGAAAACTGATTACAGGAACTTAATAAGTAAAACAGAGCCAGAAATATTGTAATCAAATGAGTTTTTAATTACATTTCAAGCAAAAAAAAATTTCCAATTTGTGCTCCTGGGATTAAAAAAAAATAAGTTCTAGAGAAATGCTTTTGTAGCAGGAAAATAACATAAACACTAATTTCCATAGGAATTATAGTAGTCAGTTTAATTAAAAGGTTTGATCGGAGTAAAGAGGAGCTGGTGCCAAATTATACTAAATAAAACCATGGCAGTTGTTGCTACCTCACTATTGTCTAAATAAAAACACTGCGTATTGAGCAGAAAACAGGCACCTGCATTTTTCTCATGGAAATAAAGGGGATTTTGATCACTGCCTGGGTTATGTTGCTTTGTTTTATTATCATATGAAATAGCTGGTACATGTAATTTAAAATTAGATGTTTTTGCTTAGTGTGATAAACACCACTGTTGAGAGAGAGAATATATTCTCTGTTTAAAGGACATTGATGTGAAGAGAGATACCACCTCAGCCAGGGGGGATCTCTCACTATTCATTAGGGCACCTGATTACTTCTGGGCTTTCAACCCCCACCCCTACTCTTTTAACTTACATCTAGTTAACTTTTACTTGTATCCCTGGAGTGGAAGGTTATTGGAGGGGATAAGTCAGGTTTACTAACAGGTGGTCTGCAGTTGTGCATGGGGAAGTATATTCTGGCATCCTCAACATGATGAGCTGTTCTTCCTGCTGGAAGGCTTTGCTGCTGACCACTCCCCAACCACAGGCCATGCTTGGAGAAGGCTTTTCAGGAGGTGTGCTGAAATTGTAGTGGTTTAGTCATACGTTCACCTTTTGTCCCCTTGTGATGCATGAGACAGACCTGCAAGGTGTCTACATGGGACCAGGTGTATAATCTATGACCACAGAATAAAAGAAGCTAACTGATGCAATGCATAAATGGGAACATCACCTTTCCATAGGCTAACACTCTCGCAGCCCCGTGCTCCTTCTTTTATTCATTTCTTTACAGGGAAAATTGAAAACTACATTATAGGGCTTAGTGTAACAAGAGAGAGAAACTTTAACTCATCAGAATTCCAGTGAACCTGGGAAAAACAGACTAGCTGGCAGGGCAGGTCTGTATGAAAGCAGTGAATAGGGCTGGGGAGAAAACTGGATTACTTTCATGGGGCGAAAGACTGTGGCCTTTGACATGGGGAGGAGCAAGTAGGAGTGACTCGGTGGATAAGTCACTTCCCCTATGATAACCTCTAAGGTTCAGTAGAGTCAGTAGGCATCCAAAAATGTTGAGGGTGATTGGATGTCCTGTAAAAGGGGGAAATGAAGTGGAACTTTGCATTAGGAGTGGTGCAGAGTACAGTCAAGAAGGCCAAATGGACTTAAGAATGAAGTTAAAGAGCACAAGGAAGTAGAACTTGGACATCATGAGAAGGAGTCTGAAAGGTCCCCAGAGCATGAAATAGATTTGAGGTCAAGTTTTACCTAAATCTCAAGGAGGCCCCAAGTGACATAAAGTTCCCATTCAAAGAACAATGTCAGAATTCATGAGAGTTCTGTACATATCCAAGATGATGGGTGACAGAACTGGGATAAGAGGAAGGAAGGAAGAAAAGATGGGTATGAGTAAGTAGGAAGGAAGGAAGTTCTTGGTGTCAGGCCTTACCCCAACTTGATGACAACAGCAATCACACCCAAAGTGTCTTCAGACAAGTTCATGTCTTCAGTCTCTTACTCTGAAGAGGAAGACTCTGAAAGTTTATGAATAACAAAATTATTAGCTGATTTGAATTGATTAATGACAGAGGTTGAAGCCACACAATCAACATGTGTACCTTATCGTTCCTTGTTTTTCTTCTTGACTTCTTAAGAGCTACCTTCTATGCTACATCCTTGGACAGTTTTCTCTATGTACTTGTTCTGCATGGCCAGCTAGTGTCCTATCCTTGATTTTTATTTAAGAAAAGCAATGGTTTTCTCCACAGCTTCCAAAACAGATGGTAAGATTACAAAAGGAACACTTAACTTCCTATTTGGATTCTTAAGAATCATCTGTGATCCTAACATGTGAGAGACATGTTTTATCCTCTGTAAAATGCAGAGTGATTGTGAGGAATAACTGAGATGAAATATGTGGGGCAGCTGGCAACATATTTAACACATGGTATGTGTTCACAAGTGAAAGCTCCTCCTCGTCCGTGTGGGGATGTCAGGTTTTTACACTTCTCTGGGACCCTGGAAATGAGATACCAAGAAGTATAAATGCTTAAAAATCCATATGTTATTAGGATTCTGCCCATTTGTAAACTGCTATTTAAAAAAATACCAACATATAAATATATTTTAGATGTTCAGATAATTTAACAGTTAGAAAACATAATAGAAAGATGCCATTCAGGCAAAAACCAAAAGTTAATAGTGGTTATTTCTTAAGTCATGAGATTATAAATTATCTGTATTTCCTACTTCTTTTTACCTTATTGTTTCTATATGTTCTCAAATTAACACATTTCTTAAGAAAAATATAAAATAACTACAAAGTGAAGGAAAACCGTATTTTTTAAACAAGCAAAAACTTATGTTTTAAAAGGATAAAGGCCATGTTTCTGAAAGATTAAATATCATCAAAATCTCATTTTCTTTTATATTGAGATGTCAGAAAATAAAAAGGCTTTCAAACCCTTTGCTGTATATATTCTACATTGATGGCTTTAATTATATTTATTATTCATACTTATTAGCATACAGATACTTAGTAGAAATTTTTGCTGATCATCTTTTACTGGTTGAATATGTGTGAAGCCTTTCAAAATGAAAAGTAATAGAGTTTAAAACAAAGAAAATATAGATATTAATATGTTTAAAAGAAAAGAATTCTATAAACTTTAAAGTTTGTCATTTACTTAAAAAAATCAGTGAAACAGAGAATGGAATTTCCTTGTCAGACAGAGTATAAACACTGTGCCCCTCTGGCCTGTAAGATATTTACCTATTTAAGCTGAGCTTCCTAGGGCCGGCCAGTGGCTCACTTGGAGAGTGTGGTGCTGATAACCTGAGCTTCCTGAATTTGTTCTGGCCCCAGTTCAGAGGCAAGATCCTCAGGCCCCAGCCCCACACCACTGCCCATCCCTGAGCAGCCCATCCCTGAGCAGCCCTCTGAGGTGAAAGCTGCAGGATTGCTCATTTGCATTCGATTCAAATGAGCCATCTTACTTTCAGCATTTTTGTTTGTTTGTTTTCAGTGGCTGGCTGGTAAGGGGATCTAAACCCTTGACTTTGGTGTTACCAACAGTGTGCTCTAACCAACTCAGCTAACCAGCCAGCCCCTAGAGAAGAACCAGGTTCCACGGGATCTCTGGATCATGCTTCAGTGTCAATTCGTTTGTTTGTTTGTTTGGTGGCTGGCATAGGGCTCAAACCCTCGACCTCAGGATTATCAGCACCACACTCTTAACCAACTGAGCTAATGGGCCAGCCCAAATGAGCTGTCTTACTTTCAGGGCTCTCATCCCACTACCAAGAGCAATTCAGGTTTTATAAGGCCAAAAGCTTATATACCAGATGGGATTAGGGGGACTCTCTTTTACAAATAATAACAATAACATGAAGTACAAAAGAAAATATTAGAAGGGTCTGGTACAAGTGAGGACGCTGATCCTGAGCTTCATCCGGCTGGTGGACAGTGTGTCTCTGGCCACAGTCTGCTTTTCCTCTTCCTTCATCTTTCCTCCACCCTCTGTCACTCTCTTCCACTCCTCTTCCTTTCTATTGTGTCTCTTCCTATACGTGTTTCCACGTTGATCTGTATGTTTAACACAGTTCCCAGATCTTTTAGCTTTAAAAATCCTGAGCTTCATCCGGCTGGTGGACAGTGTGTCTCTGGCCACAGTCTGCTTTTCCTCTTCCTTCATCTCTCCTCCACCCTCTGTCACTCTCTTCCACTCCTCTTCCTTTCTATTGTGTCTCTTCCCATACGTGTTTCCACGTTGATCTGTATGTTTAACACAGTTCCCAGATCTTTTAGCTTTAAAAATAAGCACTCCTCTTATTTCAGGATTTTATCTTTCTTATTCAGGTAAGTCCACCCACGGTCACCTGTGGCACAGCAATTGTAGGTCTATTTTTGTAAAAATTTAACTTCACAGTCTGTTGAGATCTAGAGCCTTCTATGGCAGGCAAAATACACATATCTGTAAACGTGTAAGCTGAATATTTTGTTTCCTGTCTTGCTTGATGTGGTTGTAAAACAGGATCAGAGTCTACGTGGTTGGCGCCCCCTGGAGATACACACAGCTATCCTGTCTTATTTTTTCATTCTCTGTGGACGCTTGTTAATACAACATAATGGTGTTAAACGCATAGTTACTTCTTGTACATAGCTCATGTTTACCAGAATAATCATCACTTTCATTTCTTATAGCCAGTTGCCATTCTCCTCATAAATGAAAGGTGGAAAATCATGTCAATGACTTTGGTTCCTCTCTCTCCCATCTATTTTTTATTTTGTTTTAGGCATTGGTGAAAGTCAATGTGAAACTGAAGCCAATGCTAGATTCAGTGGCTGCAAACAGAAGTAAGTGGGAAGAGTTGCACCAAAAAAGGCTGCTGGTCTTGGCTACCTCACGCTCCCCTGCCAGCCTCATGGTGGCCAAGGAGGACAGAAACTAAACCTCCAAGTCAGCTGCTGCTGCAAAGTGACTGCAGCCTGAAGAGCCAGCTTCGGACCAGCCACATCATCCTTTTGTTCTTTTAGCTCAGTCAGACCTCAGGTCTCGGGGATGTGCTGGGAAGCATGCCTGGGCTTTCACCTTGAAGTGTGCTCAGCAGTGAAGAGAGTGACAGGAAGGACAAAGGACGTCATGGGGGCAGGGAGCACGTCCCAGGACACTCAGTTTTACCTGATGAACACACACAGGCTGAGATGAAGGCTCTGGGCAGAGGATGGTTTTGGATCCAAGGACCCGAGGACAGTTGCCCGCTCACTCCGAGCTGAGGGAATACAGGACGGTGACAGTGTCATTAGTGCTGCTGCATTTTGTACATGGCTCTTCTGTTTGTTACATGCAAACACTGCCTGCCTTTGAATCCTCTGCCCGAGTGTGCTTTTGTGCCAGACTGCCCCAAGAATTCTGATTTGTATTCTATAGAATATTTTATTTTTAATCTTAAAGCTTCTTAATGATGGATGAGAGCCTTTAGAATTGCCTCCCTAATAGATAAACTCTACTATCCTTATAAATCCCAAACAATCCCAGTTTTTCCCCAGAAAGGTCTATACTAGGAATATAGCAAATATATTTGTCTGATTGGTGTTTATACAAGATTTGTAATTCTACATTGGGATTGTGGCCCCCCCTTTTTCAGAGTTTTAAAATTAAACCTTCATTATAGAACAATCCTTCTCCCAGAAGGATGGATTAATAGACTTTAATTAGAGTAAGGATGAAAGGAAATCTATAGCTGGATTTACCAAGTGACATATGAACATCTCAGAACTATTTCTGACAGTGAGAGTTATTTCACAGGACACAGCAGAACCACGGAGACTGAGCACTGACTACTTTGAGTTTTCTTAGTGATAAGCTTTGGTGT